CCTGCTGAAGCTGCTTCCCTCTGCACAAAGTACTAGTCACTGGATGGGAAAGAGAGAGCACCGGTAAATTTGGGTACCAGTTCCCACTGTACGAGCTGTAATACAGGTGACTGCGCTGACTGCAGGGGAAGAGCTGCTCTACCTGCCGCAGCCTCCGAGAGAGGAGACGAGGCTGTGGCGGACACCTAACCCCGGTCAGGGGAGGGCATCTGGCGTGGTAAGAGCTTAGGATGCGGGTCTCGCCCCAGCATCTTCTCCAGCCCGTTTGGGTGGCTCCCTGCGCAGCGCTGCTACTGCTATCGATCCCCTTTACAGGCCCACATGCATTGTACGGCTAACTTGGGCTGTAAATTCTTGGACAAGGCAGTGATAAAATCCTTTGGTTGCTGTAGTTTCCAAAGAAACTGGGGGGAAGGGAGGGGGAAGACGAAGAAACAGAGGGAAATTTGGTCCAGTTTGGTATGTTCTGTTTGCCTGTTGCATCTCATACTTTAGTTTCTTCATCTAATTCATAGCACATACTTTTACAGTTAGACTACCAGAATAGAACTCTTCCTCAAATGCAAATGACTGAGTAAATACTAAAATCCTAAAAAATTAGATAAAATCCAGCTCTTAAATACTTTTCAATTTATTTATTCCAGAATTTCATAGCAAGTAGTCTAATTCTGACTTTTAAGTACCAGGAACAGGAAAAGTGATTAATTTTTTTTTTTTTTCCACAAAAACGCAGCGCTGCTACTGCTATCGATCCCGTTTACAGGCCCACATGCATTGTACGGCTAACTTGGGCTGTAAATTCTTGGACAAGGCAGTGATAAAATCCTTTGGTTGCTGTAGTTTCCAAAGAAACTGGGGGGAAGGGAGGGGGAAGACGAAGAAACAGAGGGAAATTTGGTCCAGTTTGGTATGTTCTGTTTGCCTGTTGCATCTCATACTTTAGTTTCTTCATCTAATTCATAGCACATACTTTTACAGTTAGACTACCAGAATAGAACTCTTCCTCAAATGCAAATGACTGAGTAAATACTAAAATCCTAAAAAATTAGATAAAATCCAGCTCTTAAATACTTTTCAATTTATTTATTCCAGAATTTCATAGCAAGTAGTCTAATTCTGACTTTTAAGTACCAGGAACAGGAAAAGTGATTAATTTTTTTTTTTTTTTTCCACTAAACAGCACGGGTAAACACAAGACATAGGGGGGGAAAAAAAGAAAATACATTGCATAGAAACTTCCAGATTTAATATCAGCCCAGAAAACCCTGAGCTTTTCACTATTTTTTTTTTACACAGGCAACTTTAAAGGTTCAAGATGCGATCTCTCTCAGGAACGTAGAGATAAAAGGAAACTAAAACTACTAAATGACTATTTTTGTGCTTTTAAAAGGGGAAATTAAAGCAGCATTGGAGAAATGTGTTGTCAATACAGTAACAAAAATAGTATTTTAAATTGCACAGGTCAATACAATATATTGACGGACAACAATAAAAGGGATTTTGGTTGGAAGCATATTTATGATTTGGATAATTACTATCACTTTCTATTTTCAACCTGAGAAATAGGGAAAACTGTAAACAGGGATTAAGAAACCACAGGTAATAAGTCACTTAACAGTATTTAGACTACACATAGTTTTGTGCTTCGCTCACAGATTTAAACCCTTCTGGTTTTTTCCTTCTCAGTAAGATATGACTTAGAATACACAATCTAAAAAATGAACGTTAATGGTAATGGACTCAGTACAAATATTAAATGGATTTCATGGCAGGTTCTTTAGCTTCAGTACCTCTGCTATTTTATAGCAAACACATTATTAGAACAGTTTAAGGTAAGCCTTTCCCTGAGAGCTGCTAACTCTGCAGTATTTCAAGATTATCTTTTTGTAAGGAAAAGTGTTTCATTAACAGATAGTTTTACTGATACTTCCTTGGCATTTTGCTACTTTCACATCAGAGTCATTACTCTTAGATTAACTAGAGGCTGTAACTGTGCATAACAACTTTAGTTTATTTCCAGGTTAACAAAATAGATTTTTTTTCACATCATTAGCCCTTAGAGATACTGTATTTCAAAGGTAATTTTAAAATGAGAGATACAAATCTTTTGGTTTATTCTTTAAGCAATTAATATGTAAGTTCTGATGCCTTCTTGTTATAACCACTCCGTTCAGAAAGTGTTGGGACTCTGAAAAGTAAGTTTTTGTCGCTTACTGTTAGAACAAGCTCCAGTTCTTGGAAATCCTGTAGCCTTGCAACATCTTTGTCCTTTAAATAAATACAATAAGTTGTTAGGTGATGAACTGTCTGTTCAGTTTTGCAGAAGTATGTTAAAATAATAGGCTCATACTAATACAAGGTATGTATTTCTCTATAAATACAACAATTCTTTACAGTCAACTGGAAAACAGACATCCTGTTGCATATTGTATTTATTCTGGTATCCTATTCAGCTACTCACTTGAGTCTATTTTTAGAAGGAATGCAACACTGATGGTGAGTGCAAGTGATTAGTGGAATTACGCTTGTCAAGATCTACTGCATGCCACCCCCAACTCCTCTTTTTTTCCCCCTGGGTAATTCTTAGAAGCTCATGAATTGATTCTCGATCTGCCCAAGAAGGTCCTGCACGGCGCTTGCTGTGGAGCAGCCCATGGGCACCGTGGCAGAGCTGGCTTTGGCAGCGTCTCTAAAGAGCAACGGAAGACCCCCTGCCACAGCACAGCCTCGAGCTCCCATCCCCTCTGCAGCAGCGCTCCGCCGCTCCACAGCATTAAACAGAATTAGTTTTGTGTCACCTCAAGGAACAATAAGTGTCCCGCAGTCCTACTCAGTGAGCCTGAAGTAATTAGAGCTGGAAATAAAAACAGCCCTTTCAACAACAACCTAAGTTGGCAAGTGACAGAATTGCTTATGTATTTTTTTTTTTTCACTTCTTGACTAACAAAGAATCAGTCATCTTATAGTCAGTGAAGACGGCAGTACAGTGAAGTCTATTAATCTAGCACTAATCAGCTTAGCTCCATGGCTGACGCCAACAATGCTCTAGAGGGGTTTGAGAGGGAAAGAAAGGTCAACAGTGAATCAGTAAAACGGGTCAGCAGGTCTGTTTTCTGTTTGCTGCACAGGTAAATGTCACATAAGTGAAAAGACAGTTACATTCAGAATTACTCCGAGTGCAGGTCTCTGTAAGTGAAAAGACAGTTACATTCAGAGACCTGCACTCGGAGTAATTCTGAAACACCCTTCTGTTTCCTGAAGGGACTGCACACAGTCCTTACGGAACTGGCAAAACTCAGCTGGGGACTGCAGGCAATGTCACTGCTGGTGACGGGTCACGGTGGTGTGGCATTGCACCGAATTTAAGAACATAGCAGAGAAACCCAAATATTAATTGGGCTCAACACCAAATGTTTATGAAAGAAACTTGAGAACCTTTTTACTACAAAAAACAAACTGAGTGCTGGAAGTTGAAGGGAGGTGGTTCAGGTTTGGTTTTGGTTTGGTTTTTTGCAACATGGGCCTATGCAGGTGACCAACAAATTATTCCTTTTTAATAATAACCAAAATACTTTCTTTATAAGTTACTGCACTTCAAAATTTAGAATTCTTACCTTTCTTAACATTGTATTTGGTAATTTTCTGATCTTCTGTACGTGCTCGGGGTTAACACCCAGCTCGTGGCAACTCACTCGGAGCAGTTCCTTATAGGTCAGTTCTTGTCTGTCCAGTTCAATTTCAATGAAGTCATTTTCTCGAAGATTAGGGTTTTGTATTCTAACTTTGAGCACCAGTTCTGTTAGAAATAAAAAGGTACATTAATAGGCAGATGTATAAAGGAATTAGAAAAGATATCTCTGTATTAACTTCCAAATATTTCTATGTTCTATTAACCATGTTTGTATCATTTGTAACAACAGAAGAACCCTCAAAAACCAAACAACTGGACTTGTCTGACCACAATTTTCATTAGATTGACTTTCACCAATCTATATGAAAAAATCATTACAAATCTAATATAGTGTGTGCGTATGCATGTATGAGCCTTTACGTGAATACTCATCTTACTGCATTTAAGATAACTTAAAAGCAGATTACACTGGTTATCAATTTCCTGAGCAACGCGGGATTGCTTTTATTGGGTTTTGATTCTTTTGGTCATCAGTTAACTTCTCACTGCTAACTTATGTCATCAGAACACCTTTTATTTCAAGAATAAAATTCTGAACGGAAATTCCAGATTTCCGTCTTAGGGCAGGCAGTATTCACCTGCAGAAATGGCAGACTGTAGAATAGTTCACCTCAAGGCTCAGGTCTGCAGACTGAGCCGTGTGAGGTTCCCTCCTGAGCTCACATTCTTTATTTGAAGCTTGGAGCATCCTGTTTAGAGAATTAGATTACCCTGGTGTCTGTGTGCTTTTATAGCATTTGAGACAAATAGCAAATGTTTTTATCAATATTTTAATAACAGTTCCAGCAGAAACAGGGTATCTGCCTCTTTAATTCCTTTCAAATGTTTCCTGAATGCCTAAGCATGGGAACCTGAAAATCCCTACCAGCACTGTGAATACACGTAACCCCAGTCAGTCCATTTTCCCTGTCCAAGATGACAGAAGTTCTAAGACAAAACGAGAAGAGACTTCTACCATTACCTTGCATATTAAGTGGGAAAGCTCCAGTGAAGAAAACGGGCTGAAAAGCTGGAACGGGCCCCATACAGGAGCCGTTCTCTTGCTGAGGTACGGACTGATTTGATCCAGCCAGCGAAGGGGAAGGGGGACTTCTGCTCCAAGACACAGCTCCCTGGTAAAGCGGACCTCCCTGAAGGACGGGCGTTGAGCGTGGTGGCGCGGTGCAGCCCCTGGGCAGCGACGGCACCCCTCCCCTGCCAGCCGCCTCCAGAGCAGCGTTCCCGCGCTGTAACGCTGCACGTGGGCAACTCCCGGCATCAGGTAAAGAAGAAGAGTTGGTATCTTGCGGTTCTAAGTGTGAGATACTCCCATTCATGGCGGGATCTGGGATACTGTCACTCATGGTGTTATAAACATAAGGGAAAGGTGGGTTAGCCAGATAATTAGGGATGATTGGCAGATCTGAATCTTTCGCTAAGTCTGACATTTCATCATCTTCCACTGTAAAACAAAGAAAACAACATTGTCCAAGACTGATTTTGGGGGAAAAAAGAAGTATCGCTATTGCACTGTGGGGCTTCTTTTTTTTTTCTTTTTTTTTCTTTTTTTTTTCTTTTTTTTTCTTTTCTTTTCTTTTTTTTTTCTTTTTTAATAGGGAGGGAGTGGAGCGTTAGAAGCACCGCAGGATAAAGATAAATCAAGAAGCACCACAGCTTTTTTCTACGGTAAACAGAACTGTGCTCAGGTGTTGCAATGCAGTAAACACAAAAGCAGAGGCTGATTTCAGTAATTCTGGGGGTGCCATTTCCTTCTAAACACTGCAATACGTTTGGTTTGGTTTAATCTGTAGCCAACACGTCGTAACATGGTCTCTAGTGGTATAACGCTATCATGTTCATAATGTATAAGGCAATGGAAAACAAAGGGTAATATGTTGTTTGATATTAAGGCAGGGGATAATGGGAAAAGAACATGCAGTACTGGGAGAGCTTAAACATTACCAATTCAACAGCTGGGAGACAATAATGAAAACAAAAACAGACAAGGGAATACAAAGGGGAGGAAAGAGGTTGTTAATCGACCACATTTCAAATTACTTATCACCTCTAGCAGCAAAGCCTGCTCCGCTCCAACAGCTACAAAACACGATAAAAATGCTCTACTGATGTCCTTTAATGAGCTGTTTCTTTGGGCTGCTAATTTTCCATTTATTCAACACAGTGTCTAAGCTCCATAGAACATCAGGAAAACAAAGTGCTGCTCATGTAAAGGCTTTGTACAAATTTGAAAAATTTTTCTCCTCTTGCTCTTTTGAAAATAGGAAGCTGCATCTGTCTGCCACTGGTTTAATCATGGCATTTCTCAAAATAGTTTTTCTAATTTCTCAGTGTTTAGAAAAAAGTTTGGCTAGCTGGATATGGAATTTGTTGGTAACACCCTTTTCTTAAACTTTGATTTCTTACCAAGTAAACGCACTAGAAATCAAGTTATTATCAAAACCCGAACACAGTATCTTCACATGCAAAATAAAGATTGGAACCTAGGTTTAAACATAAACAGCCTTTTACTATGCTCTGACGATCGTATCACTTCATAGCCAATAGGTTTACCTCCCAACATCTTCCTTATCTCTCTCTTTGACGTTAACTGGGACGGTCTTTCTCCTTTCTTGGTGAGGATCTCCTTGTCAGCGCCGGCGTGCAGCAGGAAAGCCACCACTGGAGCATGGTTCCGTTTACACGCCCAGTGCAAACAAGTCCTGCACACAGACAATGTGAACATAGTTTGAAAACCTATATTATGGCAGATTAATTTCCACTCATTCTTGCTGCCTCTGAGAAGAACAAGACCTAATGCACTTCTTAACATAAAAAAGGCTTTAATTGCAATCTTCCTTGGTCATTTACACTGGTTTTGGAGCCTGCAGTGACACCTGCTGATGTAGTTTCCCCTTGCTCTAATGCTCTTGACACCACCTTATCATAGTAGAGTTTTTAAAGTTCAAGATCTTTACAATTTGTCATTTATTAGGCTACTAATTTTTCTGGAAAAATAAATATAAAAAGGCGGCTTGTGTATGCGATTTAATCTTTGAAAGAGTAAGTTGTACTTAAAATACTTGTGTGTGTTTATGTGAGCTAATAGGGATACTTCCCTAGGATGCTATTTTTATTCTTTAATTAATGCTGTCGGCACAATGACTTGCACTTTTGGGAAAGTAACGATGTTTAAAATATTTTAAGCATAGTTTCTAAGCACAGTTATTTTCCCCAGTTGCTATTCGCTGCACCAGCAGTTCCCAGGCTTTGATCTGCAGACAGCTAGTTTTCTACCATCTGTAAATGATCCACAAAACTAATCACTTTTCAATTTTTTTAAATTATTTGCAGTTGCTGACCTAGAGAGACATAGTAAAGAAACATGCTAAAAGCTACTGAGCTTATTTAGTGCATAGTATTAGGGACTCAGACTCACACATTATAACTCGCTACATAGTTGGTTCTTCCCTGTCCTGGGTTCTAGTGATATTTGATCTTTCTCTAGATTTTATATTTTATTTTAATTCTCTAGCTCCAGCTGAAGGAAACTGTTCAGAAAAATGAACTCACTTAACCCTTCTTGAAGTTTATTTATTTTTTAAGAATTAAATAAAATAAAGCAGAGATAAGTAATAAACTTGTAGGGGAAAAAAGTTTCAGTTGAAAGTCCAGCTCCAAAAAACTTATGCAACTTTGCTTTTTTTAGGGTTGGGTGGTGGTTTTTTTTTTCAAAAAAAAAAAAAAAAGAAAGAAAGAGACACAGTCATTAGACTGCAAAGTTGTATCTTGACCAGTAACTCCCAACTTAAAAGTTCTGCTCTTTCTAACTTTTCTTGTGTACAAGCATGTAAGGAAGAAAAGAGAGAATCTGATCTTTAGAGGGATACAAATCGGGTCAAACCAAGAGAAGACGAGGTAACTTACAAGACTTTGTTCATTGTTTTTCAATTAAGTCATATTCTGACTTAATTGAACCCATCATACCACAAACGAAAGGCTCATTTCTACAATTTCTTCTTACTAAAATTAATGCAACATGATAGCAGAAAGTATCCCTGAATTAAAGGTAATGGGACCAGTCACTGCAGCACGAGGTTGTAGAATTAGATCTAACTGAAGAGACGTGAATGGAAGCGTATGTACACACAATATTTTTCTTGATAGACTATGCTAAGAAGGATGCTACAAAATCTGTGTTTCAGATGTGATATTGCTAGCAATATTGTAAAAGCCCATATTCTCTCTCCAAGGTCAGGCTGTACATTTCAACTAGCAAGTGCCATTTTTCAATGACAGTAAACAATTTTGTCAGCAGAAAGTATTCCTGAATTTTTAACACCAAAGATCCCACTGAATCTGAGACAAGCGCCATGAAACTCGGAGCAGGTTTCTTTAGTTTATCTGTGCTGTGTTTTCTGGACTTTTCACAAATATCTCCTCATGAAATGAGCGTGAACAGCCTGCATGAATTCAGAAGTACTGCACTGCCCAGTCATAAACTGGTTTGGACCAAAGTGGTGGGAAGAAGCACAGACAGTGTGGCCGTGTTTGCTCTGAGTGCAAAATCTGCAGGTTTCGTTCGTACAGAAGGTATGTAAACCTCAATAGCATTGGCCCCATTTTGGGATCCATCCTGAGACTTTCACGTGGTCTCACGCAGAGAGGTACCATCTACCCACGGACCTGACACGCATCAAAATGTAAGCACTCAGCACCTCTTAGCATCAGAGATACTGAGAAACTCCCTGGAAAAATTAAAATTCTACAAGCAAATCTAAGTAACAAAGATCCATTTGTTGCCATTGTTAAAAATGACAAGATCATTATTTTTAGAAATAATTCTATTTGATGACAGTTTTCTTTCATCAATTCCAGTTATAGATACAAACTCATTTTGACGACAAGCAGATGTTTATCTTACACACTTAAGACAATTCAATGTCTTGTGAATCAGTGATCTTAAATTTTTACAAGTTCTAATTTAATCACAATTTGAACCTCAAGTTGCAAGTGTCCCAAAACTTCTCAAAACTGCTGATCAAGCTTTTACCTGTAAAAGTCTAGTTCTTTTCCTAATATTAGTCTTCCTATTTTTAATTACGACTTCAAGCACAATACCGCACAGTAAATACAGGCTGAACTGAACTTAAGGAAAACAGTCTGCAAAAATGCCTGAGTATTCACCGTAAATCCTGCTTCAAATAACATTTTGTGTGCATGTGTTCATGTATAGAGTGTGTAGAGTCCCACTTGTACAAGTGTCTGTAACAGAGAAGTCTCAGTTTTAGTGTCATCAGGTGGTATCTGAATGACACGTCAAAACCAAAGCGTTTATATATATCGCTGAAACAGCCTGCAAGTTCCTTGCTTGAAAGGGAAAGTAATTTTCAAACCTGATTTAGACATTAATAAAAAATATTTCTGGTTAGACAGGAGCACGTGTTGCCAAGCTGAGGGTTGCATTTTGACTGCCCGTGCAGTCTCAGGCTGGAGCACGCCCTTCCGAAGAAAAAAAAAGGAATATAAAGTAACAACATGGTGACCTGGCGAAACGGTAAGCAGCATGGGGTCCAAGCAGGAGGCGGGAAGGGTACACGTGTTTGTAACAGTGGTTATCAGCCGCATCACTGTTTTTTCCTCTTTGGAATAGAGATAACTATCCATCTATCTATCTGCCTGTGTGGCTGCCCCATCCCTGGAGGTGTCCAAGGCCAGGCTGGACTGGGCTTTGAGCAACCTGGGCTGGTGGGAGGTGTCCCTGCCCAGGGCAGGGGGGTTGGAACTGTACGATCTTTAAGGTCTCTTCCAACCCAAACCATTCTATGATCTACATAGAGGAGTACTTGGCAGCGGATCGACCTTCTAATTTCATTCTGACCTGAAACGGCCGGGTATTTCCCGTGCCAGAGTGAAGCCCCGGCAGCGGTAGCTCCGGCAAACCCGAGGAGGAAGCCCCGCTCGCCCCGGCTCGCCGGCAGGGAGCCTTACCA